CGCCTTCTTGAAATAGGCCCCTGAAGGATGAGTGAGGAACAATGTTGTTTTGGTCATAAGCATCTGCCTGTAATAGTCATTTAACAGTATAATAGTGTTTTAGGTGTCGGGGGGTGATACACAACCGGAGGTTTAATGACAGGAAAAAATGGTCTGGAGTTAATCCTAGTGACAGAGTAAATATGTGACCCTATGGATGTGTGTGTTTCACTGATGGATGAAGTTCAAACTCTGCTTGAGGCTCGTCGTTTCACACAGAGCGTGATCAGACTGACGGTTTCTCACTCATCCGGTGTAAAGGAAGAAGCGTAAAAGTGGCACAATGATATGTTTATTGAGAGGCTTTGGATAATAGAAAAGGTGGTGGCTGCTGGAATGTCACAACCATTGACAAAAAACATGGACATGAGCTCCCTTATTTAGACGCACACACTGACACACACACACATGCACGCTCTTCACCGCTCCCATCGCTCTGAAGAGAATTAAAAAACTTATAGCGGTGCACAAAACAAGACAGTTTCACAGTTTCTACAAGTTTCTACATGAAAAATTCACAGTTACACGTATATGAAGGAGATTTGCTTTGTAGGCACAGAAAAAGCAATAAAATTTGTGTTTCAACAACAACAACAAAAAAAAACAATAAAATAAAAACATTCTACAGATTTCATATATCCTCAAGGGCCCACATGGACTGAATGTTTACACTGGATTTGAGGTGGGAACATCCTGTATTGTATTTGCAGCCTGCAGGGACACAAATGAAAGGTCACACCCAGGTAAAAAAAAAAAAAAAAGTATACAAGTATAGGCATTAAAGATGAAAAGACAGAAATATGTCACAGCATTTGTTTTCTGTTAACTGGTCCTGCCATGAGAGTAAGGACTCAGTTCATCTGGTTCCCCCTCTATACAGCATTACACCATGTCTTCCTACACATACACACATTTAGGGTTTGCAGAACATGGGACCAGAACATTTAATATAAATGCAATCCCAGGTCAGTCAGATAAAATGGCTATTATGGAATTTTGAGTCTACATGGTGCTCCACGGGTCCGTGTCCACCGGTTACAACGCTCTGAAATGATCATGTATGATTAAATCACATACAGACACTTGAGCAGTTTTTGCATTTTTTCTGTATTTGCAATTCAAGTCTAGACAGTTCACGGCGTCCCCGTCGTGTGGAAAGCTTCAGGAGTACGCTAAATATATAACAAGGTAATCATTGATAATTTAGCAGCCCTCTCTGCACACTGACACATCATCAAGTCAGACCGTCACACTCCTCCTGACATCATCTTTGGAAAACCTTGTACTCAGATACTCTCCTTCACAGGGTTTTATCTACTGCAGCAGCTGGACTGTGAAAAATAGCTCTTTGACAGGATGTAGCCCACCCCTTAACCATATACTTTTTAAATGAGCGCTGCTGAGTAATAAGCTGGTGTTTTCATTTGTGTGAGAAGAAACGTTTGTTTCATTAAGACAAGGTTTGGTTTTTTGTTGTTTAGTCGGTACCTTGCAGACGCCCCAGGGAACCACACAGTCAAACAACACTGAGGCAATAAACTGTTTCCAAGCAGTTTGACAACAGAGTTAAAGAAAAATACTTAAAAACTCAGAAGTACTACTGGCATTTTGTGTATTACTAACAATTCCCAGGCAACTGCTTAAACACTTTTAAAAAATCAGACTGAAGAGTTGTTTTCTATTAAAGTTCAATGTCGACATTTTATTTATTGGATCTCCTTTTTGAAATATGCTGAAGTTTCTGATTGTGATATTTTGCAATATAATGCAGTTGCATTAATAGCTGCATTGAATTTAACTGAATCAATAATGTCAATTCTAGGCTCACTGAACATATTTCAGTCATTCTACAATGACACAAAACCAGGAACAAGAAGCAGTTGATGTGTTTAAGGGAGTAGTGGTGTGTTCATGTCAGAGTTATTGTAATTATCAGCCAACTTCTAGAAATTGTTAACATCCATGTAACTGAGTAATTATGACTGGAAAACCTCATTTCATTTCTCTAATGTTTGATATATTTGCCTCAGTGTTATATTGTCAGTTAACATGCACACTATGTGCTCATAGGACCGCCGTCTGGACTTGTCAGGTGACGTGAACGTTCAGAAGTTTTAAACATGTGAGCCCATCCCATATGACATGGGACTAAAAACTGACCCTTAGAGTCCACATTTCATCAGAACGAGCCAACAAGGCCTGTCCAAATTCAACGCCTCCTACACATACGGCTAAAAAACGGTGCCATCCCACCCTGGGTACCACACAATTTATTATGTCATGGTTGACTGTTTGATGAAACATCCAGGAGGTCTTTGGGAAGTCATAAATTCACACGATCATGTTTTATTTACCAGGTCTGTGTGTTACACTGGTAATCATACGACATGAACAAGACCAAGAACAGGCTGTAAATACAGGAAGCCAGACATGAACTCCACTATTTGCAGCGTCGACCTTCAGGTCCAATGAGGACCTGTATGTTATAGGCTGCTGCAGCTAAACTGGAGCACAACTTCAAACTGCTTGAAAACAATTTTAAAAACCCCAAAATGCACCTAAACCATGTCTTCATTTGGTCACGTGAAGCAGGTACATTTTTCATGTATACACTTTCACACTCTTGGGCTTTCTTCCTATTCTGAGTGTCTGGCTCTGTGCTGCCAGCTGAATTAGCTACTACAGTGATACTACTGCTTCACATATGGCAGATAATAAAAGATAGATGTTCGGTGACGGTATTCGAAGCAACAATACACACATACAGCAGTGGGGTGGCACACAAGCAAGGACTTTAAGCCAAAATGTAATTTGGGATAAAACTTTTAATCTTCACAGCTAAAATAGTTACTCACAGTGGAGATGGCATTATGGCGCAGTGTGTACGTGTGTCTGTGTGAGAGAGTATTTTCCATCAAGAGAGACAGACGTGTTTGTTTGCTGTGTGATTGTTTAGAAAATCCTGCACCTGGATGTACTGCTTCCAGTGTTTGTGTAGGTTTGTGTGTATGTGTGTGTGTGTGTGTCAGCTCAGCAGATGGAGTTTGATTCTCACTACTGGGAAATCTCAATCCCACAATGCACTGGGAGCAATGCCAAATGAGGAAGCAGCAGCAAGCAACCAATCACAGCTTGCATAATAAATAAAAAAATGCTTTCCCTCTCTCTCATTCCCATCACTTGTTCCTGCTGGACTGGCCATTGTTGTGCTCTCCATCAACATGAATAAGCTCAACAGCATGAGTTAATTCTCAGCTCATGCATAACACACACACACACACACACACACACACACGGACATACCTATCACGTACACAGTACAACAATTAACACAAATCACAAAATAAAACTGGGACAGATTGAAGAGGAGGTTGGTTCCTCATCCTCCCTTTATGTTTCTGAGCAAGCAAACAACTGGAACTCCTGGCTTCAAAAAAAAAGGACAAAAGCAAGAAAATTCCCTAGAACAAACCCATATGTCTCTCACTCAAGTCTGTAGGGAGAATTATTTCAAATATAGGCCCACATCTACAAGGGATCCCTTCCCAAACTCCCTCTTCAGTCCACAGGAATGTCTCTTGCTGGAGTAGTGGAGAAAGAGAGAAATGAGGAATTGCTGATGTTTTCTCAGCATCTTCATGAGAATGGGAGAATGTATGTTTTTTAAAACACCAATCATCATACAACTAGGACCAGCAGTCAACATCAAGATTCAGCATGTACTGAAAAGTGCTCTGAGTAAAACAAGTGGGATGGCAAGACAATCTGAGAAATCACTGTGATGAGTCAGAGCAAACTGATGACATCATATTGCCACGCCAAAGCACGGCGAGTTCAGATTTGAAAAATCAGATCATGTCGTGGTGCATGAATGTGTGTGTGTGTGTATGTGTGTGTGTGTGTGTGTGTGTGCACTAGGAGAAGCTGGCCATGATTTTGTAGCTGAAATTCAGCTTCGGAACTGAACTATAATACGCCCAAAATGTATTTCAGTGTTTGCCTTGAATTGAACTTTTGTATGGAAAAGCCTCTGAAATACTAAGTTTATTATGGACAGAGTAACTCCATACTGAAAGTCAGACCAGTGGCATTAAGGCAGAGTGGACCAGGTGTCATCGCAGGTTATTCAGAATATGACACTCTGGAATGATTTTGCTGGCTAGACATCTGATGTTAGCTAGGATCAGCGAATAAACTTCATCATATCATTGCTGATGTCAGCAACTACCTAGTATGCACAAAAGCAAAATCATATATCAGTTTAACCCTAGAGTGTGTATGTACTTGTGTGTATGTTTGCTTGATCACAGTGAAAAACAACAACAACACAAAGTGTCTTCCATCCCCTGTAGCCCTTCTTTGGCGGGTCTGGAACAAAACAAAACAAAAAAAGTCTTCACTTCCCAAATAACCAAATAACCAATAACAGCCCAGCAGTGAATTGTGTGATTGTCAACATAAATCCCTACAAACACCTCGATGTGAGGTATGGACAGAGAAATAAGAGTAGAGGAGAAGCTGGCTGGTGGGCCCAAGTTAAGGGTCTATGTCTGCTGTTTTCGTCAGGGTTTAGTCCTACTGGTTGTCCTTTAGTGTCAAGCTACTGCAGGCCCACTAACCGCAGGCTGGTCTCCCATAGGCTCAGCTGCAGCTCAGGGTCAAAGGTCACTGGGGTTGTCATCTCCCTGCACCCATTAGCCCAGTAGCCTCCTTCACACTCCCCCTCCAAGGCTGGTGACAGAGCAGCGTACAGCACAGTGGCAGCGCCCTCTGCAGGAGTCTGGGGAAAACGCCCACACACACACACACACACACACAGTATATCTAAATATAAAAAAATAATTGCATACCAAAAAAATTTGATTTGATTTGATTTGATTTGATTTATTTATTCTTTCAAACATGTAAAAATAGTCGATATGTCAACACACAATTTTACACATATCCACAAATGCTAATCCAATATCAATTTGCTTAAACCTAGTACATGCTTGAATGGAGTAGGAAGAAGTCAGACTTATCCAGTCCTACCCCCTGACATCATCTTACCATCATTGGTTTCTCTACATAGATAATTTTGTTCTTCACCACACAAGTAATATACTAA